TCTCTCTCTCTCTCTCTCTCTCTCTCTCTCTCTCTCTCTCTCTCTCTCTCTGTGTGTGTGTGTGTGTGTGTGTGTGTGTGCGAGCGTGCCTGCACGTGTATTGTTGTAGGGTAGAGCTTAATTTTGACTAGAGAAGAAGAAAAACTTAGCAAAAAAGCCTTATTAATCTATATAAATCACTGAACATGTCACCTCTCCTGAGAGATTTTTTTTTTCTAATTTGCTTTGGGAGAATGGGAGACAGAGATACATATGAAGTCAATCTCCATGGTAACTCAGGAGGAAGACAAGGATTTGAACCAGGTACTATTTGCCACTGTTGTTGCTAAGGACCAGTATTTGGTTTCCAACTCCCACATGGCGGCTTGTGTATACCTGTAATCTCAGCTCCAGGGGACCTGGGGGGCTTGTGTGGACCCTTGTACTTACACTATGCATCTATACTCACGAAGACATACACATACACATAGGTGAAAAGGTAAGAATCAAAAAGATTTAAGATAGGTGCATTTTTCTGATGAAATATTTCAAGTTCTTCAGCAAAAGATTGTATATGATATATAGCCTCTTGTCTAATTGAAGAAATAGGTTGGAAGAACATTTCTGGCATATGACTTCGGGAAGCAGCAATCTTTTAAAGGGATCTGCATCAGAAGGACACCAGTCTCCACGGAGTCTAGAGATCTGTACCCAGAGAATGAGAGAGTCATTAATCTCCACCCTAGTTCAGAGAGGAGGACATTTCTGCCTGGAAGGGGTAGTTACTCCCTACTGGAATTGTCCTGTAAGGGTTTTGTTTGTTTGTTTGGTTTTTCTCCACCATTTTGTTGGGGTTCAATGTTCTCTAAGAATTTATGTAAGGATATTTCTTTGTACAAGACTGTTACTATTTTCATAGTAAAGTTGTAACTTTATATAAAATATGTTTAAAAATAGAAAGTAATTGGTTATCCAATACTAAGTGTTTAGTTCTGAAGTCATATAATACAAGCAATACTAAATGGACTCAACAGGCTATAGTTATTTGTTTCTGAGCAATTACAATTAAAGAAAAAGAGACCACGAATTTGAGATGGAGTTAGGTGCATATGGAAAGGGTTGGAGAAGGGGGGACAATGTAATTATATTTAATTTTTAACTTTCTTTTTATTTATTCTGTGTCTTTCACATCATGCATCTTGATCTCATTCACTTCCGGTCCCTTCATACTTGCCCTCTGCCTCTGTAACCTCCCCCACCAAAATAAAATAAAATTTAAGAGAGGAAAATAAAAAAGGAAAAGTCTCATCATGGAAGCTATAGTGTGACACAGTGAGTCACACAGCAAACCCTTTTACTCATACAGCTTTACTTGCAAGGGTTCATTGCAAAGAGTCGTTGATCTGGTTCGAGCTTCTGGTTTCTGCTACACTATTGATGCTGGGCCCTCACTGAACTCCTCTTGGTTTTTCTGTTGTTGTCCTGTGTGTGGAGATCCTGTATCTTTGCATCCGCGGGACTGGTCCCTTCATGTGATCTCCAGCAGATCACAGATAGGGTGGATGTTGGTGTGAGCCGACTCATAACTCTAGTTCCGGGTCTGGGCAGTTGCAGGGTTGGTCAGCCCGCCAGTTCTTCCCTGTCTTCATCATCAGGATAAGTTCTCCAGCATTGCCCTGGCTAGTTCACTCCTGGTATTGATGAGCAAGGGGCAGGGCCAGTTCTCCCACCTTCACATCCTCGGGGTGGCTCTCCCAAACCTACCTTTAGGACCAGCTTACTATGCTGCCCAGGCGAGATGTAGGGGGCCCTTCTCCCAAGTGCCGCAGCTGGTGAGGAGCAGGGACAGCTCCCACTCTTAGGACCTCATGGCCAACTCTCCCAACTGCTACAGGCCGCCGGGGTGGGGGATGCATTTCCCCCCTGCCCTTGCCACTGTATGGCAGATGAGGGACGGGGCCAGATATCCAATGCTCACATTCTCAGATGGTTCATTTGCACCTCTGTCAGTAGGGTCAGCTCTCTGTACTACCCAGGGAAGGTGCAGGATCCACTCTCCGGAGTGCTGCAGCTGGTAAGGGGTGGGGGGGAAGGTCAGCTCTCCTGCCCACCACAGGTGGCATGGGAAAGGGGCAGAGGACATCTTTCCTTTGCCCTTACCACCATATGGCAGATGGTGGGTTGGGGGGGAGTGGCCAGCTATTCCACCTATCACACCCTGGGGCCAGCTCACCTACTCCTCTACCACTGGGGGCCGCTCTACTGTGCTATCCAGGCGAGGTTTCCTGAGTTTTGCCCCTGGTAAGGAAGAGGGCCAACCCCCCCGCCCCCCCCCCCGGCGGTCTGTCTCAGACAATGAGGGGCAAGGGGTAAGGGGGGCATCTCTCCCCTGCCCACATCAACACATCAACACATGACAGATGAATAGTGAGGGCAACTCTCTCATGCTCACAGTTTTGGGGCTGGCTCATCCACACCTCCTACAAAACAGGGTTGGCTCTATTGTGCTGCCCAGGCAAGATGCAGGGCCCCTTCTCCCGAGTGCTGCTGCTAGTGAGGGGTTGGGTCAGGGGAGGAGGACATCTTTCCCTCATCCATGCTACCACATGGCAAAAGAGAGGGCGCAACCTGCGCATCCTTTCTCACACCCTCAGCGCCAGCTTGCACACACCCCTGCGAATAGGGTCAGCTCTATTTTGCTGCCCAGGTGAGATGCTGGATCCTCTGTCCTGAGTGCTTCAGCCCGTGAGGGGCAGGACCAGTTCTCCCTAGTGTTATAGCCAGTGAGGGGTGGGGCCAACTCGGCACAAGGTAGCAGGAGCCTCTGGCATCACCAACACAGACCATGGCTGCGTCAGGGCCATGAACCTAGACATGGGCCCCAGCAGCGGCCCAGATGTAAACATCACCATGGCCCCAGGTGGCATGCGAGCCACCCGCCTCAGCCTTCTCCTCACCTCTCTCACCTCCTCAGATCTGCCTCTGTCCACACATTCTCTCTCTCTCTCTCTCTCTCTCTCTCTCTCTCTCTCTCTCTCCCACAACACACCTTAGGTTTGTTCACCATAATAGGGCCCATGTTTTCTCTTCAAAGTCTGGGGTGGTCCCGCATGTTGAGTCTCTTGGCCGCACTTAGTCTGCCATGGCACTGGGCAGGATAGAAAAGCAGAACAATTTTTAAAAGATCGATTTAACTTCCATAACAGTCACTTTGGACACGTATGTTATATGAATACATGATAATAATGTAAACATACTTCTCCTTTGGAGTTTTCCTAGAATATAACAGATAAGCACGTTCTCCCGAGAGCTTTATCATGACCACAGTCTTCACTCTTTGTGTCCCTGCAGCATCACAAGGGTTGCCACTTGTCTATAAAACACAAAGGAATTAAATACAAAATTACTTCATCACAATGTGAAAAGTTTTATGACAGAGGTTGTTCAAATCTTACCAGTATGACTGGCCCTTACCACGCTCAAGGTTGGATGACTCTAAGCAACTACAGCAAACCTTTGCGTGAGTGTGGGAAGTGGCTACTCAGATTGCCTTTCTCTGGATTCCCACAAGCTCCTCCACTGCTCCTTCCTCTGGATTTGGCAGTGAGTGTGGAATGTGAGCGCGTCTTTTGACTTTGGCATCGTCCCAAGACCATGCCTCTCAGATTTCCTCTCTTCCTGACAAAGGGCTGACCTACATTCCCTTGTATAAGACGGAATTTTCTGGAAAACCGAACCTCTGATAGACAGATTTCAAATCTTTGCTTATGGCAAAGAGACGTTTTGAACAAAAGCTATGAGAAGTTAATGGACGTTTACTTGTAAAGCATTTCAAGGTCTTCCTGATCCAAAAGCGCTGATCTCTGTGACAGACAAAGGTTAAAATTGGTTAGACAATCAGATGTTTGTCCCCACGATTCTCCTATCTGTAAGTAAAAGATGTGTAGATCTCAACTCAAAAACATACTGTTTGGGTTAGAGAACTTACTCCTTAAAGAAAAGGGCTGAAGGTTCCATTTATCTGAGGTAAATGTTATAAGTCAAACAGAACGATTCTCTGTCTCTCTGTCTCTTTCTCTTTGTCTCTCTCTCTGTGTGTTTATCTGTCTCTTTATCTCTGTCTCTGTCTCTTTGTCTGTCTCTGTCCTTCTGTATGCTGTATGTGTGTCTGTGTCTAGCTCTTTGTCTCTGTCTCTCTCTCTCTCTGTGTGTGCATGTGTGTGGTGTACACACAACTGTGTGCCTAATGACCAGAGGAGGATACCAGGTGCGCTGTCTTGAAACTGAGTCTCTCTTTGAACTTGAATCTTGCCTGGGAGGCAGTCATCCCTAGGGATCCCTCTTGTCCCCAGCAGCCACAGCACTGTGTTTACAGGTGGGTGCTGAGGATGGGAACTCAGCTGCTAACACCTGTGCTGCAAGTGAAGCGCTCTCTCCCTCGAGCCCCATCTCCAGCCTCAGAGTTTCCCTTCAAAGGGCAGTCTTCGCGTGCAGAATTCAGTTCTTGGTTGGAAGTGGAGATAGGCTAGATAGGAATGGCGGAAGATCAAGGGGCTGGCATTGCTTTCTTAATTTTCTCGGAGAGCAGTGGAAGAAGGCAAGAGCACTGTGGGAGAACGAGTGATAAGCCACACCTGAAAGACAGCTGCCTTGGCTAGCTCTGTGTTAGCTTGACACAATCTAAAGTCAGTTGAGAGAAGGGAGCCTCAACGCCTCCATAAGACCAGGCAGGAGGCAAGCAAGCCTGTAGGGCATTTTCTTAATTAGTGATCAATAGAGGCCAGCCTAGTAGGTAAGAATATACCTGAGCTGATGGTCCTGGGTTCTATCAGAAAACAGACTGAGCAAGCCAAAAGGAGCAAGCCAGTAAGCAGTACCCTTCCAAGGCCTCTGCATCAACTCCTGACTCTAGAATTTTACTGGGTTTGAGTTCTTGCTTTGACTTCCCTCGATGGACTGTGATTCAGAAAAGGACGCGAAATAAATGCTTTCCTCCCTAAGTTGCTTTAGGTTATGGTGCTTCATCACAGCAATAGTAACCCTATGAGACCAACTAAGCTACTGCTACAATAAACTGAATAGCCACCAATCTCAATTTCATATAATAAGTGAGCATTCGCACCAGAAGGTCAACTGATTGAAGCTAGACTCAGTTAGGTCAACTCATTGGAGAAGCTCTGGTCCAGGTACACTGGATAAACTGGGATAAACTGGATAAACTCAGAATCATTCTTTTCATAGCAGTGTTAGCAGATTCCTTAGAGGGACTTAGAAGTGATATATTATCTCTGCTTCTGAGGTTTTATGAAGCAAGACATTAGCCAAGTGCAAAGTGAAGTTCTCGGGAAGTATGTTTTCATTATGGTGAAGACACAGCAAAAATCTAAATGCAAGGACTGGAAATGTGGCTCCTTAGTTACGAGCCAATACTGCTCATGCAGAAGGTCTGAATTTGCTTCCCAATATCTATGTTGGTCATCTCACCTGTAACTCTAGCTCCAGGTGATCTGGTAACCTCTCCTGGCCTCTGCTGAAGAGCAAGGTCTTCTGGCATTTGCACTCACCTGCACAGACAGCCCCAGCCCCACAGGAATATACATAATTAAAAATAAATCTTAAAAATTGCAAATACAGAAAGCTGTATATAGCTGTAAATTGTTGTGGTCACTAATGCACATTGGGGATAAGGGATAAACTGCAAGACGGTCCAGCGAACTTGATCCTAGGAGAATGAGAAAACAAACAAAAAAACATATTGGGGTTTGGAATGGCATTCCATCAGAAGGAGCATATACCAGGGAGGAAAGGACCCATGGGTCAACATATTGTGTCTGGAGAAAACAAAAGATATAACCGGAGAGCAAGAGATGTGGGGAGACGCCTGGAAGATGAGAGTGGAGAGAAAGTGTGAGGCCAGATCATAAAGGGTCTAGAGTATAAACAGTCGAGCTTAAATAACCTTACAGACACAGGGAGCCGTGCGCGAGTCCCAGACTCTTTGACAGAAGGCCTCTGTGGGAGGAGTATGTAAGAGAAGTTGGTGGGGTCAAGCAAGGTATAAAGGGATCAGTTCAGAGGGTAGGGGGCGAGAGAAGAAGGATTTGGTGATCTTGAATTAGGGAAGTGGAGGCAAGGCTGATAAAGAGCAAGGGAATTAGACAGGTAGAACGTACATCTGATCTAGTTGTTGAAGTTATGAGAAAAATCCTTGCTTCCCAAAATTACTACTTAAATCATTAATCACAACATTAGCTTCACCCAAGACATTAGTATGAAGACCTGATCTGGGAAGTGTGAGGAGGCATGGTAGGCGTTGGGACTGGGGCCTGTGGAGGTTACATTTTTGGGCTTTCGCTGGATGAAAATATGAAATCTGTAGTCTGAGTCTCAGGATGAATGCCCAGAACTTTAGTGTGTCACCTTGGGTGAGGCTATGCAGGGAAAGCGATTTTAAATCTAAGTAACTGAGTTCTTGGTGCAGATACTAAATGTTATAGGTGGACACGTGAGTATGGTAAAGGATCAGACGACATGAGAAATATAAATCCATGAAAGTAGGAGTGCACTTGAGGGAAGGAGCTCAGCAGGGGGAGGGAAGGAGGATAGGAAAAGGTACTTACTAGGTTGTATGTGATCAGAATACATTATAGAGATGCGTGAAGCTGGTATAATAAGCTGCTGACAGGTGGTAGGGAAACCCAAAGGTACGTCATGAAGGGTAAGGAGGGAGAGCACACACAGCAATCAGTCAAATAAGGCTGAAATAGCAAAGGCCACTGGGCCTGATAATCAGCGGGTGATTAGGAACATTGATGAGGGTGAGTGTAGAGGGTCAGTGGCGTAGGTGGCCCAGCCAAGATCACACACTGATATCTATAGCACAATTAATAAAATCTCAAGGGAGTAATATTGGGGTTCAACCTAAAGGTCAGAAAAGCAAAACAGTCAACCCCTGGCTCGTCTCAGTTCCAAATGGTGATTCTGCTTCTAGAAATCTCAGAATGAGACTGTATCTGAGAACTGTCTCCTCCCATTTTATATTCCTCTCTAGGGCTGGGATTAAAGGCGTGCACCACTACCACCCGGTTTCTATGGCAAACTAGTGTGGCTACTGGGATTAAAGGTGTGTGCCTCCACTGCCTGGTCTGTAAGGCTGACCAGTAGGGTTGTTTTACTCTCTGAGCTTCAGGCCAACTTTCTTTACTAAAATACAAATGAAATATCACTACAGATATCTCTGTGGGTAATTTGAGGCTGAGACCAATGTTTCTGACTCTCAGTCCATTTTTAGGTGGAACACCCCAGATGCTTGTCTAGCTCTGAAGATCAATCAAAATGCTGACATCTTAAAGCCTCAGTGTGAGGGAGGTTAGTGGAGATGCATAAGTAGACGATCCATCAAACGCTCAGTAAGCATGTTAGGTCCAAGTTCTTGGGATAAAAATAACCTTTAGCTGAACAGAGGTATTTGAGCTCCCGGCAGAGCAAAGCTTAAGGCTGAACAGGTCCCTAGTGGCTTGAGTGTCCTGTAAGATGTTCTGTGACAGGAATCTTCTGAGCGCTGTCATTTCCTCAAAGCCACAGACTTCAAAGCTCTCTGGGGTCCTTTCTGCTGACTCCTCAAAACAGGAAGTTTCAACTAGCAGGTCAAGGAGGAGAGCAATACATAAAATTGGCTTAGTTTTGCAACTGTTCTTCTGGAGACGCCGTCCCCTTTTCTGCATTCGCGATAAACGTCACATCACCATAACTTGAGGATCTATGAAAACCATCTCCTCTTTCTTCCAGCTAAAATACTGGCATATTGACGCACAAAAATAATTTCTTCATCCTGCATTGTGGTTTTAAGTATTTTTCCAGGCATAATAAGCAAGGGAAAAGAATGTAAAGAATGCTAACTGGTATTCATTCTTGGGAGATGAAATAGGACTTACTGATTCCAAGTTTATGGGGACCATTCAGCCTGAAAGATAGATTTGAGCTTTAACCCCAACCTCCTGCCTCCACATTACCGCTTCTGTCTCCGCACATACTTAATTTTTTTGTTCTTAATTTTTTTATTTTTATTTTATGTGTTTGACTGTCTTGCCTGTGTGTATGCTTGTACATCTTGTACATGCAGTACATTTGGAGATCAGAAAAGGGCATTGGATTCCTCGGAAATGGAGTTGCACAATCGTTCCATATGAGTGCTGAATCTGAGCACAAGACCACTGGCAGAGCAGCCAAAGCTGTTATCTGCAAAGTGATCTCTCCAGCCTCATCTTCTTGCTTTTTTTAAAGTTTCATTTCTTCAGTTTTTGACCTTCTGAACTCTCAAAAATGATTAATAGCTCACTTATCTGTTGGAACAATTTACTGCATAGAAATAACTATTTTGAAATTTCATTTTAATAGCAACCTCATTTTTACTAACAACACATTGATCAAAACTCAAACATGATAACAAGGACAGATTTGTGTCATTCATAATTAATTTTATCTGTCGTCCTGTGTTAAGATGAAGTATTATGGCTACTACAAGTGGATCTTTTTATTCTTATTTACTAAGAGGATTTTTTCCAATTAATTTTTTCCCCTCTTAGAAATAGATACTGAGAGCTATCTAATGCCTCTGGAAATATGATTTTAAAATTTGTAATTATTGACCAGATGGTGGTGACACATGCCTTTAATCCCAGCACTCAAGAGGCAGAAATAGGCAGATCTCTGTGAGTTCAAGGCCAGCTCGGTCTACAGAGCAAATTCCACGACAAAATCCAAAAGCTATAGAGAAATCCTGTCTTGAAAAACCAAAAAAAATGTATAATTATTTATAGAATAAATTGATGTGAAATATTCCTTTACACTGTTGCTGTGATTAGTTTAATAAAGAAGCAGACTAGCTAATAGCTGGACAAGATAAAGTTAGATAGGAAAATCAAACTAAGGACAATGGAAAAAGAAGGACAAAGTTAGAGGAGTTGCCACTGAAACACAGACAGGAAAGAGAAGGTAACTCCATGTGGCAGAACACAGATTAATATAAATGGGTTTGAAGGCAGAGACTGTTTGTTCATTTCCCGACTTCCCAAACCTGAATTATAACGCAGAAACTATATTAATTACAACACTGTTTGGCCAATAGCTTAGGCATATTTCTAGTTAACTCTTACATCTTAAATTAACCCATTTCTATTAACCTGTGTATCACCATGAGGCTGTGGCCTACTGGTAAGGTTCTGGCTGGCGTCTGGCATCTTTCCCCTTCAGCACCTACATGGCATCTCCCTGACTCCGCCTACTTTCTCTCTGTTCAGATTTCATACCTGGCTTTATCTACGAAGCCATTGGCCAAAACAGCTCCTTTAATAGCCAATGGTAATAAAACATAGTAATAGCATGCAGAGAAGAAGCCCACCTCATGGGTTAATTTAAATTATGAGATTTAACTAGTAAGAAGCTTGAGCTATTGGCTGAGCATTTGTAACTCATACTGTCCCCATGTTGGTTATTTGGGAATTGGCAGGCAGAAAAGAAAAGTCCACCTACAATAAATAACATTACTATTTTTTTTCAAGTTGCACCATCTTTACATCCCTGAGATAACTCCTAGATGTTTTTGAGCTTTTATTTCTGTAATCTAACATAGTGGTGATATGTCAGAGCAGTCCAGAGAATGTGTCCTGGCAGCAGGCTGGCTGTTTGTGCCCAACTTCTAGTTCACTGCTTTCTGGTTGCTTAACCATTAGCAGGTTTCTCATCCTCTCTATACCTCATCTGTATAGAGGGATATTGTCTCCTATAATAAAAGGCTACTGCAGCAGGACAGAGCACACAAGGGAAATGCTAGTAGGCCGCCTAGGGTGTAAGGAGGCAGAGGATGGCTGGGGGGTGGGTTTCTTTACTGGGACTCCTAATGTTTCATTCTGTGAAAAGATGCTAAGGGCCATTCAGTTGTCTGATTCAAATAATGATGGAATTGTATGTTACCACCAATGGTATATTGGCAAATATGAGTTTCCATAACAGCATTTATTGTAACATACTAGTTTCTATAATAGTATTTTGTACTGTGACAAATTCCTTAAGGGTTGCCTTGCTCAGGTCACATCTACTAGCAGTGTGATGTCAGGCAAGTTAGTTACCTTTTGATGGATGTGTCTTTATACACACATACATGTATATGTGTTACAATTCTTTATTGCTTCTTTGGGAGTTTCACATCATGCACCCCAATCCCACTCACCTCCCAATCTCTCCATACCCTTCCCTCACCCCTGAAGCATACCCCCTCAAAGAGTCTCAAAGTCAATTAAAAACAAAAGAGCCACCTTCCGCCTGTCTTTCCCACTTCTTTGCTCATCTTTGTGGCATTGTGTGCTTCAGTGTGCCTGCATTATACCCTTTTGTCCAATCAGCCCCACCCACACAATGCTCATTGCAGTGAGTCATTGGTCTGGTTTAAGGCCTTTAACACACCTTCATCACAAGATGGGATCCTCACTGAAACTCCTCTCAGACACCCTGCTGTGCCCCAACTCATGGAGATCTTGTGGTTATTTTTCCACAGGACCAGTCCCTTCG